GGAGTATAAATGTGTATGAATGTTAGTTAGAAAGCACTGCAAAGTATAGACAACAGTGCTTGTGTGTATGGGTGAATGCGGCGTGTTGTATAGAGGGCTTTGAGTACTCCACGAGAGTAGAAAAGCTCTATATAAGAATCATTTCTCATTATAAGAAACATTTACCATTTACCAGTCCATGGATGGTTGGATCAATGGCTAGAAAAATGGATAAATGAAGGATGGGTCAGTGGATGATAGATGGATAAATAATAAATGGGTAGATGGATGGATGATGGGTGGATGAAAAGGGGTGAGGGTGCTATCTTCTGTCTGCTTTCTTTTTTGAGAAAGTGAACTAAAAATAGATATGGAAATCTAGTATTTGGAGCATAATAAATGGTTTTTATTATGCTTGTTATTTCAAAATATAATCATATAAACTCACTTTAAACCATACTTCACCAGACATACAAGATGCCACAGGGATGTCACCCACTGGCTTTTGAGTGCACAATACAAAAATACTAAAAATATGCTCTATAGCACTGAAGGTCACGTTATTTATCACATAATTTCATCAAAAACAAAACCAAGGAAGATGGGTGCTGTTCAGTGACTTGGTGAGGCCTAGCAAATAATGGCTAAAGTCGCCTTTCTCAGTACACCCGTCTGCCTCACCGGTGCCATTCAGCTTATGGGCAGGTTAGCTTACAGTTTTAAGATGCAATGCTTAGTTCATGGCCGACCAAAGATTTTTTAAAAAGTGCTGCAAAGTTTAATCCCAAAAAGTGTTACCTCTTTTCTCCATATGTCCAGTGAGAATTGAAGTGTGGACTTCCACATGTTAGACTTAAAGACAGTCAGTAAAACACTGCCGTCATATGCCCCTTATGCCCACTGGTTAGTCAGCAGGTCATCTCTTTATATCTTTTCAGGTCAATCATCGCAGCAGGAAGTCAGCAAGTAGTAGCACAGGCAGCTCCTCTGTCATAATACGAATCATTACAGTATACAAAGGTTTCGACCCTACACAAGAAGATTACAAGGATGGAGGAGGTGGTAATTCTGGGAGAGATGTCCTATTCAGAGAATGAGCCTGTCTGACAAAAGAGCTTCATTTGGGGAGAAAATAGTAGACAGTGGTGACAAACAGCTCCCACAGACATGTTTTGCTGGAAAGTCTTCTATCCTAAATAGATTTAAAAAAGCAGACCCTTGACAAAAAGAAAGATGAATACGTGACAGCCTGTGCTGTCTTTGGACCTGTGGAGGTGTGATTATACAGTCCAAATACAGAATGAAACGTTTCATTCATTTGGTGAGCTTTGTCAGAATTGCTTTACCTACTTTCTGCTTTAATATGGATTGTGAGTATAATATGCACGCAGCATTTCTCCACGGTTACAGCAAGTTTATAGTTGTCTTGTTGCACAGCAAATGAGACAAGGTTCATTCAAAAGCATGGGTTGTTCCACTGCCCTTCTCTGCTGGGCATATGATGTTACACCAAGGTCAGCACTCTCTTTGTCTTCCTAAACTCGCCTGTTGACATGAATGAATTAATCTAGTCATTACTTATTCATGTCGGTGGGATTGATTCTCTTCCCTCTGTTGCCTATGCTGATATTAAAGTTGGTTAAAAAGCATTTAGGGTTGGAGTTTCTGGTTAAGTCATCTGCGGGCAGGAAGAACGACGTGGTTAATGTCCTTTCCTTTGTGATACCTTTTTGTAACATTTACTGATTCCACGATGAGCTGTTTCCACAGCCCTTCTCCTATTTAAACATAGACTTTAAATTATTTAAACACTGCGGGCTAAAAAGTGGATTTGTGTGTGCTCGTGCAAAAGAAATCTCTTTGTTTCAGCTTCAGGAGCTTTGTAGTCGTTAATGTCATCGTATCTTTCAACTCTTTAGTTTATATAATATTTATGCTCTGAGAAATACTCAAATGCAAGTCACGTTATCTGTTCAGAATCAAACACAACACTTTTAAGTGGACCTGTTACTGCAGCACTGCTGACAATGAAAGTGGGCCAGACCCAGTGTTGGTCAAGTTACTTGAAAAAAGTAATCAGTAACTAATTACTGATTACTCCCCCTAGTAATCCCATTACTTTAATGATTACTTATTTTCAAAAGTAATTAATTACTTAGTTACTTTTTAAAAACACGATTTACAACCTGAATAGGTGATAAA